CTGTTCTTTGTCAAGAAAAACAGAACGAGCGCATGATAGTCTACTCTGGACTTACATCTTGCTTTCATATCATCTCATGTTCGTGACAAACGTCGTTCAGAATTGGTAATAAAAGAAGCGTTGGACCAAATACTCAAAAACACTTTCTATTGATCGAGTTTTAAATTGCATTGGGTCATGGCCCAACGGTCTCCCGTAATTGTGCCACACCAATGTGACTATTTAATTATTTGTTCTGTATAACTATAACCTTGTACATCAGCTGTATAATCTAGCTCCAGAGTAGCCCGAGACTATCATCAGGATTAATAATCTCATTTATGAAAAACAGTCAAGTTTTGCAAAATATGATCACCTTCGAGGCTAATTATAGATGAGCTACAGCATATATTAAACAACCTACCACAGATTGTTTATATATAATCATTGAATCACGAATTACCATAATTATCCTATTTAAAACAAGCTTTTGAGCAAGATTTAAACGCTTTTCATAGGAATCCAAAAGAAATTGAAACCGATTATAACAATTTGGGATATCTGTACAGACAAAAAGGTGATCTGTCAAATGCATTGGTTTGCTTTGAATATGCATTTGAACATTTTTCAAAATCAGCACCTGATGATTATTTGCAAAGAGCATGGAAATATTATAATATGGCTTCAATGTACGTTCAACAAAAACATATGACATAGCTATACATATGCAGAAAAAACAATAACTATTACAAGTGATTGTCTACTTTCTAATCATATATTATTAGCAGCTTCATATGAGGCTCTTAGGGTAGTTTTATGTCAACAAGGAAACGTTGTAGAAGCCGCTTCTACAACGTTTTTTCTAAATTGGATATGGCATATCCAGTTTAGAAAAATCAATTGAAAGTTATAAAAAAACATAGCCCAAATAATTGCCCAGAAACAGTGGCCCAAATTCTAACTATCCGTTGAAAGAGATTGATAAACTAATTAAACAATCATGTGAATCAAATAATAGGCATCAAACTAGCAACAAAAAAGATGAAGAAATGAAATATAGTGTTAGTCTACCTTACGTTCCAGGAATGGGAGTGCTGAAAAGAAAATTGGAAAAACTAAAAATTAAATTGTATTTTTCGTATCGTAACAAAATTCAAATCACACTTTAAATCGTACTTTGAAAGAACCATTGAAGTCAGTTATTTGTCAAATACAGTGCAGTTGTGATCCTCTTCAAATATATAACGGTGAAATTAAAGTTGAAATTGATAATAGAATGAAACAGCATTTTCACTTGATAAACAACGATAAGGAAAAATCGGAAATAGATATCAATGTCTATTTGATACGGATAATGCCTTTATCGTTGAACAAGAGAAAAACTGGCGTAAACGAAGACTAAAAAAAGTAATTTATTCGAAAGTAAATAAATCAGTCAATAAACATGATAATATTAGCGGCGATTAGAATCCTATTCTTTACAGAACAACAAATTAAAAGAAAGATCCAATCAAGCCAAGAAACATTTCAGAAATATAAAAGAACTAAGACTTAAGGAACAAGACGGTGACAGTGATACGGAAAAGGTTTATCCTATCTAGCAGAGTTCGTATGGACTCAAATTTTTGAGTCCAGTCCAGTCCATGGACTAAAAAAGTCTAGTCCAGTCCAGTCCGAGTCCGTGAAATCCAAAAAATCTGAGTCCAGCCCAGTCCACATGGACTGGACTGGACTATGGACTCAGTCCAGTCCATACGGAACTCTGCTAGATAGGATAAACCTTTTCCGTATCACTGTCAGATGTATAAAAGAGACAAAGAATTAATGATCAAATGGCTGAATAGATCAAAATAGTCGGAAAGTTCAAAATGGTCAACGGTATTGTTTTTGTTCTATAATTCAATGAAAAAGTGTATTAACAGTTAGTGTTAAAGATTTTATGTCTGAAGAAGTTGTAAAACTACAACGAAACGTAACAAATTTTAAATAAAACAATTAGGAAGAGAAACAGAATGAACACAGTATTATCAACCTTCCTGAACAGAACTCAATACTATTTTGAATCAGGTACTAAACGACGCAACTTGTTCTTTGTTTATGCTAAGCATAAACGAAGATAAACAATTCGTTTGTCTTCGTCATTCATCTTTAAGATGAATTTACTGGATGGAATAAAGAAAAAACAATCAACGTAATTGTTTTCAGCTTGTTTGCTACGAAAGAAAAGTTAAAGTAAAGTTTAACTTTAGCCTGTTTATTAATTATTGAACTATCAAATAATTTAGATCGTTTATACTCAACATAAACAAAGAACAAGTTTCGTCGTTTATTACCAGAATCAAAAGCATCTAAGCTCTGATAAAATCCAATAAATTGAGTTTTGCATGCATTCGTTAATGCTAAGAAGAATAAAAAAAAAATACCATTACGATCATTTTAATCTTCAATATAACATTAGATAAAGTTGTATGTAGTTGCTTGTCACATGAAATCGAATTGTCACGATCGAGTTAGTGTAAAAAAACATCCAGCTTGCATTTTCGACCCGATCTCTCATCATACAATATATTTTGTTGTAAATATTTTAACTTCATTCTCAAACTGCAGAACTGAGAGACTGATGACATCGATCACTGAAAACAAGTAGCTAATCCCACGAGAGTGTAATGTGTTATATAGTTGATATGTGTGCCTTTGGACGAAAACTCAAAACGCCGAAAGTGAGAACGCATAATGTATAAGATCAAAAATATGAATAGCAAAAACCTGAAATGTAGAAAACAAAAATGACGAAAGTGCAAAATATCGAAAACCTAAAATGTAGAAAATGAAGAATGTCAAAGAGTAAAAATAACGGAAATGTGAAAAAGTGGACTCGTATCTCCAAAATATTTCTTGCTCATAATTCTGCCGATAGACCTGCAATCTTTTTTGCATACGGTCATTTGTTTGTGTGAAATCTTTTGCCATTCTGTTTCTTTGTATAATAAACAGCCTTAGAAGTAAAGTTCTTGAACAAATTAGATAAAAAACAAATCTTGTAAATAAAGTAGAAAAGTAGCTAACAATTTTATGAAGTATTGATCACCAAGTACACTACTTGTTTTGTCCTTTATTTTGTCTTCTGCAACGACAAACGATAGTCCTTGTAACAGTTCTGCTAAATCAATTTCCGCATTTTTATATCGATCAATCAGTGTATTCATACGCTGTTGTATTCGAAAATTGTCTATCATAATTAATACTTCGTCTTTTATATTTAGATTTATTAGCCTTAATTATTAATTTCTTTACATGGAACATAAAATTTTATAAGTAATGTTCTCTAATTCGGTTATACGAGTTTTACAATAATTTAAAACTAAAATTTCAAAAATATATGATTTTAACTAATAACTGCTATTTCGTTCGTAATCAGCTTCAATGACAAAAATTAATTCTCCTAATGTTACATTTTTTTGATGACCAAACCAAAATGTCAATCTCATTAAATATATAGAATAGTAAAAAATGAAATGTGTTACTTTTCATTCTATGGAAAATACTAATCATTTACTCGAAACGGTATTATTGCAGACGGATGTGTCAAATTTTTTTTTCATAGTTTATTTCGCATTCTAAAAAGTCTAACCAAGGTAATATTTGTTTTACATCACTATCAGCTTCAACAGGTATTATACAGTCTCCATGAAAAATATCATATCTCTAGGGGCCTAAAAAAACATAATGGCTGGTGACTTCGAACTCTGTATGGATAGATGATGGTTCAAGGACGATAAACATTTTCTCTTCGTACCAATATGTAACCATAGCTCTCCTCTATCCACGGTGGAAATTTAAAATGTTGATTTGTAATAGTTACTGAAACTTTGACGATCGACTTTTGAAAATCGATGTTCTCTTAAAAAATTAAGAATTCAGTTTAAAAGCATTTTCTTACTACCATATTCCTCCCTATTGAATAAAAATATTTTAATATTTTGATACTAAAGGAAAGTGTTCATCCTTCTTGAATCACCATCGATTCATACAGAATTTGAAGTTACCAGTCAAAACACAAATCATGTTTTTTGAGATCTTTGGGAGTGTGACACTCTTCACCGTTACTGTATATTTTTTTAAGTGATAAAATTCTTGTATTGATAGCTGCAGTACGGTGGTAGTCTAGAGTATATAGTAATTGGAATGTAAAAATCCGATAACATATTGCTTTCTACAACTACTTTATGATATAGTACTAGTGAAACTTAAGGATTGATCTATCATTGATGATGTTCGTCACGTTAATGTATCTTCTATTGTCAAAACGAAAATGTCTGATCATGTTATCTCGGAAAAAGATCCTGAAAAAAGCCAGTAATTTGAGCTGTACCATTTGTGACGGTTTAAGTAACTCATTGAAGCCTGAATTTTTCTTGTGAGGGTATCTTCTTGATATTTTCATTGTAAGATGATCATAGTGTAGGTATGTTTCACAGATTCGAAAGTTATGGATCAAAACACGCTATCATCTACTTCAAAATATAGTGTAGAGAACTCTTTTTTTTAATAATGTTTAAGAAAAAACGAGATAGTGCTTATCTGGAAGAAGGAAGGAGGGTACTTCACTTTGCGATTATCGTTGTAGAGTACTGACACGACTCTGAAAGATTTATCATCATATTTACAATTATTCAGCGTACATAACTAGACGTATTGTTTTTACAAAACATTGTGTCCTAAATATGTATCTACCGGTCTAGACATCTCTATTTGGATTCTTCCTAATAAGAACGAGCTGCATACTTTCGAATTAATACATTTATTTTTAAAATATTTGTTTAATATTCTTTGTCACACACATATTATCTTAAGTTTCATTATCTTTAACAAAGTCTGGTCGATCTTAATTCTGAAAAAAATGCGAATTTTATATTAATGATAATATATTACGAGTTTTCAGCTATTTGCTCTAAATAATACTAAAAAAAAGTCTGATTTTTAACACTTTCTGCTTCATTTTTAGCTTTCTCATGTTTAAAATGAATCAAAATTTTAAAATTCATATGCTATTCGTCGTTATTTATCTTTTAATTGTACCAACATCGTTAGATTCAAAACGATTTGGACTAACAGACTCATCGTCGAATGTACCGTTATCTCATTATCAACGTTTAGCCAAAAGCTGTTACATTCGTAATTTTGATCAATGGTCGGAGAGACAAAAAGAATTATCCTTGCTGATAAAAGTCTCAAAGATGATGCAATTAAATTTCAAAGATCATCCCGAAGTACAACGTGAAATTGAACAACATCGACTACAATATGAATGCTTGAAAATTTTTGGTCGATTACCCGTGTCTATTGGTCCAGGATAAACGTAATTTTCTGTTCATATTTCATTCTCAATTATGCATTAAAAGCAATTGTCAATCAGAGGAAGTATAAAAATAATAAATACTTAAAAATATTGACGTATCCACCATGAAAACATACAGCATCATCTATAATAAGAACCTTGAACAGTTATCAACACTTAATGATTTGTAGTTCTTTCTTGTCATCTTGTAAAAACATTTTTTGTAACACCGATATGAGATATACCTTAAACACGCACAATCTTTTTATTATTATTCTACGATAAACAAAATATAGAAAAATACTATAATTAGGTTGGAGGAGGAGCAGTTTGTGACGGTGTTGTTTGTCTTTTAACAACGTGTGCACAATCTAATTTTCCACGAATAACTTTATGATGCACACCGGGTAAATCTTTTGTTCTACCTCCTTTCACTAATACACTATGATGTTCTTGTAAATTATGACCTTCACCCGGTACATGAGCAATAACTTCGACACCATTTGCTAAACGAACACGAACACATTTACGATTTGCTGAATTTGGTTTACGTGGCTTTTTAATTAATGTTTTGAGCACTATGCCTAAATAACAGAAAGTTGAAGTGAAAAATCTACGCTCTCATTTCTACAAAAACAAAACAAAAAACGCTTGCAAAAAAACATGCAAGAATAGACGATAGAAGTTCATTCTATGCAGACCTATCCGTATCTGCAGGGATTATAGAGTCAGAGCTATTAAAAGGCTGTAGAAAGCGTGTCGAATTTTGAAAATAGTAGTCATGTCGATGTAAAATATACTGAGATGTCGTTTAGCCTACTCACAAGGATGTCTTTGACTGCAAAAAAAGATTTTCCTATCTAAATTTAAAATGTACCGACATACGCAAGTCTGTAGACTTCTGCATACTTCTTAACTGTCCATTAATCAACACTTTCTTTTATAGGATGATTTAATATGAAACAAAAACTTTTCCTCCTAAAAAATACCTTTTATGTGTGGCTGTTCATCTATTTTTGATTTTTTTTGTGGTCTAACGCCAGTGATGTATAATGTGTTTGAATGCATATGCCATAGAGTATTCAGATGTCGTAACGATGTTAAACATTGAAATGGATTAAGATCTAAATAGTGGAGAAAGTAAGATATAACACTAGTAGACGAATAAAATCATACTAAACATACACTTCGATAATAAAACAGATGTACTATTTGACGATACTACAGGTTTTATACGTGACACTAAATTTTGGATTAAATTCATCTGAAATAAAATTAAGAACTTATATAATAACTTTAAGACCTTTCATTTGTGACTTCAGGAGCACAGATTTTTGTGGAATAAAATACTTTTTTCATAACTGAAATCAATATCTTCTTCTCCTTCTTTTTCAATCTCATATTTCGACAGCGTTTTTTCTAAGATCAAAATCTGTTGATCTGTTCGTAAGTAGTGTATAAAAAACAGAGACCAACGTCGCGTAACCAACGTACGCAAAACAACGAATGTAGTTTTTGTCAGTGATTTATCTAGGTTTGATTTACTGAAGGGGACCGATAAACTGGTTTCGTAACGGCCCTTTCAGAAAAGAGAGGAAATTCCCTTTCAAAATCGTCAAAAATTTTTAAGAGGAACGTAGGGTAAAAAAAAGGAAAAGAGAAGCCATTTTTTTCGCCAAAATATGGCACTGATAATGTTGTGTATATGTCAAAGTGGTTAAGGCTCTCAAAGAAAGGATTTCATCTCACTTAAAGCATTTTTTTCCATGTTTCACGCGTAAAAAACTGAGAAAAACACAGCAAAAAGGAGTTATTCTAGTTTCAAAGGTGAATGTGGATGAGCTTTGTGATAACGTTGTGGCTGTATGAGATGAAAATGTTGGAGAAACAAAAGTGGCATTTTCTGTCAACTCTTTGATTTTTCACGACGTTTATCTTTCTTCATATGCTGTACGATCGACCACCATCCTTTGTTTCCACAATCTAATTCGCCCGTTTTACACAATGTAAATACGAATGCTGATTCCATAGCACCTTTCTTTAACCATCGTCTCGCAGGCGCTTCATCTACTGTTTTCTGTACTACAAGTGATTGAATTTTGTTTCATATGGCGGCATTGATAAAAAAATATATCTGAAACTACTTTCAGATCTAAAAATAGCTTGAATTCTGGTATTTTTACTAAAAACTCCCAGAAAAAGAGGAAAATTCGCTCAAAAAAAGGAGAAAGAGTCTTGAAAAAAAAGTGGAGCATTACGACCCCAACAGGTAAATATTTCGAGGGTTTTACTTTCTGAAATGGTATTTTTTGCCGAATTATTAGTTGGCAAGCTGAAAAATCGATGAGGCGCTACCCCTCCAGTGCGTCCGCTAAATAAATCACTGACTTTTTTGTTCATGATAAACAAACCAAATAACAAGTTCATGCACAAAACAAAAACAGATTAATTACAGTAAAATAAAAAATGGCAAATAAAACACAAAAAATGCACTGCAACTCATCGCTCAAGCAATTAGATGTCTTGTAAGATACCAAATAAAAAATGGTTGTAATAGAACAATGGCTAATAGCAGATAGATTCGTCGTTTACTTCCACCATATGTAGAATGTGAACCTGTTTCTGGTAAAATTTGTAATCGAAGACTTTTAACAAGGAAATAAGATAATGCTACACTGATGTAGATCAAAACACAACGATAAGCAAGTAAAGAATTTGTTAATAAATAAGCACTAACAGCAGATATCATTCTAAAATATAAAACAAAATTATTAATTAGTAACTTAAAAGCATGACCCTTTAAAAAGCAAGTGATGAAGAAATTTCCAAAAGCAATTTCCAAAGTAATCTTTATGATACCAAGTGTATCGGATAATCTGTTTCATTTATGTCTCTACGCTAAGTGATTTCTACGATTATATTTACCCAACATATTTATATCCACAATAAGCGATAAGATCAAGTGTTCTTAATTTTGTTTGTATTCCAAATATGTAAAATATTAAACATAATAAACCAACTTCAATGATAAACCAGACTAATACAGAACTCGAATGAAAACCAAGTTGTTCAGGGGAAAATCTACCAAGAAAGAAAATATATGATGAAATACAGTGAAAAGAATTTTAACACATTACATACTTGTTTTGTGTTCCAAGAGCTAATCCAGCTATCAAAACGTATGTTAATGCGCTCATCACTAAAAAGTTAAAAAAAACTTGGTTAGCTTTTTGGAATAAATCTTTATTTTAAGTTTTTTTTGTCAGACAGTCACATACATGGTATGTAATAATCAGGTGCATTTGAATCAACGCGAGGTGGCACGGGCTCATCTGCACTATACTGCAATGACCAATTCTAAAAGATACAAACGCTTTTCCAAATAAAACAATAGATAGAATCTTTAAAAACATACTCGTGGCCGAAATGGGAATAGCAGTAGACACAATTTTTTAATGACATATTTGGTATCAACAGCAAAATAATATTTCACAGATGTTATTGAACGTTTTACCTAAATAAAAAGTAATTTTATAACCCAATGAAATTTATATTTTTTGGCTTAGTTTCAATAACTAACACATACTTCATTAGGTAATAATTCTTGTCCTTTTTGTGCCATCATTGATGTGTATTGTCCAGCCATTTGCGTTGCTACGTTGACTAGAGGATTTGATAAAAAATCCATTCCACCAGGTGGAAAAGATTGTTGTTGAGAAGTTGGAGAATAGAAGGCATTTTGAGGTGTATAGAAATTACTGGCAGACATTTGAGACGTGCCACCCATGGTAAAATCACCACCATATGGATTTTGCGGAGGATGAGGTGATGTAGACATATGACCTAGAATAGAAAAACAAAAATTACTAAAAGCAAATTGTTGACATTTTCTTTACCTACCATAGTTATTTTGTGGATAAATATTTTGATTTTGCCTTTGTTGTTGTTGTTGTTGTTGTTGTTGATAATCCATTGAACGGCGCATGCTTTTATCTAATAGAGAAAAATTTGGATTTTTATAGAAATTCGTTTAATTTAATAATCTAATTAGTCGAAGAAAAACTTGCTGTCAGCTAGTAGAAAACTAACAAAACACTTTTAATCTAAAATAAATAATAGAATTATTGAGAAATAAATGCATATATAGCTCGAAAGATAATGCAATACTATCCCTCTCTTTAGAGCATCTAGAACAAAAATAAAACTATAAAACAAAAATTAAAGACACCTTGTTAATATAAAATAAACAAAAAAACCTAAAAATGTTTGGTACATGAACAATATCCTTGTCTAAAATGATGTCTTCTACTTTCATCTCGAACAATAATTTCTCGTTGTTTTAAAAGAGAAACATATTTAAAAAATTCATGACAATCTTCGCACATACGAAAATGTTTTGTAATTTGTATAATTTCATTCGATTTTGTTTCAATAAAATTATAAGCACACGCTAATTTTTCTCCATGTTCTTTAACAGCTGTTTCCGAATTATATTCTTCTTTTGATAAATACGTTGTATTATATTTATATCTGTCTTGTTTTAATTCATTATGTAATTTATTTAATTCTGCATAAATTTCTGTTGTTTTGGCATGTCTTTTATCATGAGCATAAAATTCACTAATTTTCCCATTTACCATTGTCCAACTTATTTCAGTAGATTTTTTAGAATTATCTGAATTTTTAATTAAATTTTGTATTCGTTGTGCCTCTTCATAACGACCATTTGATGAATAAAAATTTGACATTAGTATAGTCGCTTCTGAAAAACAATTGGAATCTAAATTTCGCCATGAATGTATTTGTCTGAATACTTGTTCAGCTTTGACTAATTTATTTTTATTACAAGCTGCTGATAGTAATGATAAATACATGGAAAGTATTGGAGTATGATATTTTTCGAATTCGTTAATTAACTTCTTAGCTTCTTCGAATAAATAGGCACGTGCTAGTGCATTAACCATAGTCGTATAAATGCCAACGCCCAACGCTCTACGATTAAATCCCTTAAATATTGCTTTTGCCTCTTGTACCAAGCCTGAATATGAACACGCATTTATAATGGCACTGATGAGTTGTTGATTCGGTCTATTATTTTGATTTTGTTCTTTCCATTTATAAAACACTTCAATAGCATTCAAAATTTGACCATTTAATGCATATGAGGTGATCATTGCTTCAAAAGGTTCATCAGACTTCGGAAATTTCGATAAAATGGACTTAAATATTGTTTCAGTTTGTTTGATGTCTCCACATTTTCCGTACATCTGTTCATCCCAAAAAAAGGAAAGAAAAACAATGTAATGTGTACAGAAATTAAATGAAAATCCTTACATCTAATAGTGCCGTTTGAAAGATGACATTTTCATTAACATCAATCGATTCGGCTAATATGTTACGATGATATTCTTGACCTTGTTCCAACATACCCAAAAACAACAAGAACAAAGTCTTTCTGTATCACACAAATGATCATTCTATTGAAGTTGATTTTCTCAAGTTAGGATTAAAAAACTGCGGTATACTCAAAAAGTTATCGATTGTCGAAGTTACCCATCTTATCAATTAGAATTGTGAGTGATGGTCAACGTTCAAAATTTGATGTCTCCTGTTACCAAAATTTACTTACCAACAACTGAACACGCATTGACGATCAACGTACATGTCAACGCATCTGGTTTAACATTGTTTTGTTTCATTTTTTGATAGAGCTCAAGAGTTTTCATTGGAAGATGATTAAGATTATATATTTTCATTAAAGCACTCCAGGAAGTACAATTATCATATTGACGAGGATTCTCATCAAATATTTGTTGTGCTTGTTCAACAGCCGAACACCAACCAAACATCTACAATATTCAGTGATAGTTTGAATCAGTGAATGAAAAATGCTGTACGAGTAATAAACACAAACAATACATACATTGATCAATGCTGTTGTGAGACGAATATTAGTTTTATATTGAACTTGATTACAATTTAATTCATCAAAAAGACTATTTGCTACTTGTAAATTTTTTAACTTTGAAATAGCACTAATAACAGAGATGTATATTTGCTCATTTGGAAGAAATTTTTCTTTTTGTTTCATTTCATAGAATAAAGCTAATGTTTTGTTAGGCATGTCATTAATGTTATAACCTGGATGAAATACACAAAACAATAACCGATTAAAATGATAAGAGTTAATTAAATGTCGTTCAAGAGTCTTTGCTAAATTTGACAACTATAACTCGCTTTACTTTACGCCCGTACAAGTAATCAAAATTACTGCTAATCATACCTTTCAAAAGTGCTCCATATGTGAAAACAGTGTGTTCTTTAGTTTGTTCGAAGACATATTCGGCCATATGTATATCTGAACACATTGCATACATGTGTATCAATGCTGCTTTTAATTTGATGTTATTTATCCATTTTTTATTTTGTTCAATGTGTTCATGAATCTGTTTTCCTTGTTCTAAATTTCGCGTCAATACACATGAATTTAATGCCAATAAATAAATAATATCGTTAACATGAATATCTGCTTGTTGAATTAGATCATTAAATAATTTTACAGATTTTTCACCTTGACCCGATGTATTGAAATGTTTCATTTTTAAACCAATTTGTTTAATTCGTATAGATTCTTGATCTTTCACCTGTTGTTGTTGTTGTTGTTGTAACGAGAACAAACAGCATATCCGCTTTTCAGAAGACTGATGAATTGCAGTTAATAATCGCAGTGTACGACTTAACATAATTAATCTAAAAAATAAGAATGATCTGTTAAATCTTTTCTTAAGATAAACATTTGTCATGACTTCAAAAGTTATTTAATCTAAAATACTCGTTAACAAACAAAAATTGATATTCAATCTACAAAACTTCTAATAGCCATCCAAGAATTATTATTTATGTTAACTAAAATGTATCTGTATGTCTGAAAACGCACATTATTTGTCAACGAACGCTTAATTTATACAGATTTACATTCTATCACTCACTCAATTAATCAAAGTATCTATAATATTTTGATTCTTAAATATTTGAGTGAGTACGTAAGTTAAATTTTAGTATTTTTGCTCAACTAAAATTACATCATTTTTTGTCTCATTTGGATGAGATTTATATAAGAAGAAAAATTAACGTCTTTAAACAAACAACATACTCTTTTTTGTATTCATCTATATATCCTATTTAGTTTTCTAGTTTACCGCAAACATGTGTCCAAGTTCGTATCTTACAAACTTAATTGTATTTTTTGATAGTTTTAGAATACTCGAATGGATTTGTTTCCACTTGTATTCTGGAATAGGGGCATAGACGTAGAAGTTGACTGTGGGGAACGTCAACTGTCGTTCATTCAAAATCAACTTGTCGAACGACCAAAATTACCTATCTAAGATTGATTGATTTGGCAGGTACCGGATGGACACCATATTTGAATTCATGATTCAGATGAATTGAGGTCAATCGCTGAAACTTGCTAGACGTCGATTCTGAAATCCTTCTAGAAAGAATTTATCAATTAAAGTCAATTTCTTCTCATTATAATAATTTTTCGTGTTTTATTGTGCTTGTATTGTTCAAAGAGCGCCCATTTGGTACCTGCCAAATCAATCTTAGATAGGTAATTTTGGTCTCTCGACAAGTTGATTTTGAGTGAACGGCAGTTGACGTTCCCAAGGATCAACTTCTACGGACACCCCACCGTTATTCTGGAAAATAAAACCTTAAATCATTCCAAATGAAACTATCTTTGATAGCATCGTGGAAAGGAGTTTCTGATGAATAGAATTTTTCGTTTGCTATTCATTAAACTCCTTTATGATCAAAATGGTTTGGTGCCAAAACTCTCCACCCGTTGGCATGCATCATTCTGTCTAGCATAGTGTATCTGTACCTACATCTGTTTAATGTCACTCTATTTACTCCTGTAGTTCAGAGTTTCTAATGAGATTTGTGATCAAAATGGAATGAACCACTTTGCTCTGAATCCTAAAGTGGCACTGACCACTTTGTAATTTAGCGCAAAGTGGACAAAGTGGTCTCAAATAAACTTTCAGCAA